AGAGAGAGAGAGAGAGAGAGAGAGAGAGAGAGAGAGAGAGAGAGAGAGAGAGAGAGAGAGAGAGAGAGAGAGAGAGAGAGAAGCGGCGGAGCCCCTTCTTCGGCCTCGGCTTGCCGCTGCGAAAGAGTGTGAAATGAAATTGAGTTCTGTACGCGATTCCCTTGCTTCTACCTCGACTCGGCGCGCTACAGTAGGACTCTTTGTGATGTCTGGCACCAACCACTACGGTAGTCCCTAACCTCGCCCCCAATGTTTCTTCTCAATTTCGGGCAATCCCCAAGTCCTTTAGGAGAGACCCTAAAGGACTTGGGGATCGCCAACGCTTGCTACTGCTATACTACTCTAACGGAGACCCTAACGGAGACCCTAAAGGACTAGGGGATCCCCGTTGTCCCCTTTGTACTACTATAGTCCCAACGCTTGCTATTGCTATATATATTACTATAGTCTCTCCGTCTCCGTTGTCCCCAATGTTTTCTTTTTCCCTTTTTCCCTTCCGCTTGTCCTTTAGGGTCTCCCCTTTTTCCTTCGTGTCTGAGGGTCCCCTCTCATCGCCATCGCTCCTCTTTCCGCTCCGGCGGGCCAGTCTCCCCCCCCCCCCAAACACGCTGTGCGCACATTCCGCGCTTGTCCGCTCTTGTCCGCGCTTGCTTCCGCACGTACGCGCTTGTTCTCGACTTTCTTGCGCCGCCTCTCTTTTGCGCCGGTCTTGTGGACCGGTTCCTGCATCTCTGCGCTACCTAGTCTTTGCGCTCTTCTGCGCAAGGTTTCCGCTGCTCTGCGCTGCTCATCGTTGCCGATGTAGTCCATTTCCGCGCTTGCGTGCGCTCCTTTGCGCCGCTGTGAGCTCCTCGGCGCTACCTTTCCTCCTTTTTTTTTCTTTTTTCGTGTTCTTGGGACTCTGCGCTTCCTTTCCGCTCCTTTGTGGCGGGACGCACCTCCTTCTTCATCCCCCCTCTCCCCCCCTCCCAAATTTACTGATTTTTTTTTTTTTTTTCCCTCCGCAAAATTCAATTCATTATTATTTTAGTAATATCGATTGAGGCAATGGACCTCACAATTCAACCCGGATTGGTGGACAGCATCAGCCAGCTTAGCTTACGAGCGAAACGCTCACCTCCAGTCCATTCCAACTTTTTTTTTTTTTTTTTTTTTTAATATTCCAATTGTTTATATGTATCTCTGCTTCTCTTTCCTCTCTAAATTTACTGATCTGCTTCCTAGGTAGCTCAGATTTGGTACCCCTTAACTGACCGGCCCTGGGTAATTCAAGACTCTAGATTTTTATTATTATTATTATTATTATTATTTTTTATGGGGACTCTAGTATTTTAGTCATTTGACTTCAGTGGAGTTAGAAAACTCAGGTCTGCATTTTTTTTTTTTTTTTTTTTTTAAGTTCCATCATCTGGATTTGAACACGGGTCTGTTATTTTCAACAGTTCATGGGTGTACCCACTGAGCTAGGCTCTTGGGTCAGGTCTGCATGTCAACAGTTCAGGGGTGTACCGAATCTGAGCTACCTAGGCCAGCTCGTTCCGTCTTTTTTTTTTTTTTTTTTTTTTGCATTTTTAATCTCTCGGAAACACCGCCTTCTTCACTCATGTATTTTTTTTTTTTTTTTCGCTTTTTTCACTCAACATCGCTCTTCTTCTTCCAGTCCCCTTACTACCTCGTTCAGACGAGATCCCGATTCCCCGGCCCTCTCTTCGTTGTGTTTTTCCTTTTCCTTTTCTTTTTATGTTTATTTTTTATTTTATTTATGTCCGCTCTCTGTCCTGATTGACACGTCAGCTCCCTCGTCGAGGTCCTCTCGATTTTTTTTTTTTTTTTTTTTTTGGTTTGGTCAGATGCGCTGCGTAGGTAACGAGGAGATCTACGGCTACCGAGCCTCCCCCGAACACAACGCATCCTCATCATGGCTGCATCGGACCGGAAATATAACTTGTGTAGATTCATGATCGGGGAGGTGCGTTGTATTCGGGAAAAAAAACGTTAGACTTAACTGTCTGTTCATCTGTGTGCTAACGGGACCTCCCCCCCCCCTCGTTCTCTTTTTTTTTTTTTTTTTTTTTTTTTTGGTTCTCCTATGGCAAGGGGGTCCCACTACCTTCTTCCCCCAAGTACAACGTACGGTAATTATTTGCTGTATTCAGACTGAAAGATACGCCAAATACAGATATAATGATGACCGTATGTTCTATTCGGTCGAAGAAGGTAATAGAGAGAGGATTGGATTTAAAAACGCATCTGTTTTTTCGTGGAGGTGCAGAAAAAAATCGCGGTTGCTTTGATTGTAGGTTTTTAAAATTTTTCTCTTTTTCTTCCAAATCTGTGATTGTAGATGAGGGTACAATTTCCTTTTTATTATACTTTTTATTATCTGTGATTGTAGATGAGTGGACAATTTCCTTTTTTTCTGCACCTCGAAGAAGGTAATAGAGAGAGGATTGGATTTAAAAATGCACCTGTTTTTCGTAGAGGTGCTGAAAAAAATCGCGATTGATTTGATTATAGGTTTCTTTTCCTTTTCCTACCACTACGCCGAACCCTATGCAGGGGCGAGGTCCCACTAGCAAAGAGGATTGAATTACTAGTAAGTTCCTGAATCTGGACGTGTTTTAAAGAGAGATGCAGAAAAGCAGTTCAATCTCGACTTCCCTGCACCTTTCCCCAAACCCGTCCAGATTCAGGCGTTCAGGCGTGTTCAATCCAATCCTCCAAGCATACCTGCCTCTCCTTATCAAGGAGACGCGTGTTGCCGCACCCTTTTTGCCTTCCTTTGGTCTCGACATGCCGATTTATTATTATTATTATTATTATTATTATTATTATCATTATTATTATCAACTTTTTTCTTTTTTTTTAATGATGATCCCGATTTGTTATTATTTTATTATTTCATGTCTTTATTATTTTTTTAAAAAGGAGCCCCTTTTTTTTTTTTT